TGTGAAAAAAGACTCCAGATGGCCAGTCCGCCTGTGTCATCCAAACTGGAGTAAACATACTTGTACTCCTCCATGCTTTGACGTCAAGGATGACATAGTTTGAACTTCTAAACAGGCCAAGTCATTTCTTAGCCCACTTCTAGATCGTTAATGAAGGTTACAGACTGATATTGAAACAAGTGATGCTCTGCGTAGTCCATTTTTTGGGGAAAAAAACTGCAAAGTGTCTTGGTTGTGACGTTGTTCAAACACAAACATTATTGTAACTCAATGAGTCGGATTTTGCGATCAAACATTGACATTGGGATTGTTTTCGATCCTGCGATACATCCATCTCTGAGCTGGTTGACTGATATGTGAAACGATAGCTTTTATTTAGCCCAGTACACGAAAATCCACATTGGATGATTATTTATTTGCAAATTCCAACACTAGTAGAATGCTCCATATGTATAGGAATTAGGAGAAAATCCAGGTCATGTTGATGGATCAGAGTGACACACATAAGATCTTCAGGCGGAAGAATGGTTGCAGTTCAAAAAGCAAGGGTTAATTTGGGACTATAATTCACAGTATTTGCCTTTAATTTCAAGTGTTTTAACTGCTTCAGCCTGACCATGTCTTATACATTGTTATCCTCTGTCATATCCTTAACCATTCTGTAATTGTCATCGACCAACACTTTAAATTTTGTCTGGCAATTGGGTAGTTTTAGTAAGATTTAACTTAAAGGTCCCATGTCATGCTTTTCCGGTTATTACCCGTCCCCTTGTGTGTTATGAAGGTTTTTATTCATGTAAACAGTCTGCAAAGTCACAAACCCTCAAAGTACACCCTGTAGCGAGTAAAACTCTAACACAGAAAATACCTGTCTATGCTGCCCCAGAACGCCTCGTTGGAGATTTCTCTTTTTCCATTGTTTACTTCTTGGGTATAGTGACGTATTTCGGGTATAGTGACATTACGTTACGTCCGCGGAGCCGTTACGTTTGGACCAATCCGCGGACTTCCTGACACACACACACTCGGCGGGACGTTGCGAGGCTCGGTGCTGCGAGGAGCGGGACACTGTGAGCTGGCTCACTGGTGTGGGGTCGGCGAGACAGCGAGACACCGCGGAACTCAACCTGGGCACACACACAAACTCCCAGCCAGGCTGCGGGTGTGTGCCCAGGCTGAGTTCCGCGGTGTCTCGCAGACGGCCACTGGACTCACAGGGAGGGGGGGGGGGGCAGGAGCTTCAACAAGCCGTTTAGGACAGAGAGTGAATACACATACTATACAGAGATGCTGTATGAGAAACCAATGTGAGTTTGGAAAATTGCACAATATACATTTATTTTAGTATACCTCAACAATGGAATTATGATCAGTAGAAATGGCCATGACATGGGACCTTTAAAGGGAACTTTAATCAACCCTTTTGAAAAAACACTTCTACAACGTCTTATGTGGTTCTCAGTCCAGAAAAATAACTTTGTGGATTTTACGGGACCATTCAAGAGACCATTCATGAGTACAAGAGTACTCATGAATTGAAAGTGAATTATTTAGTCAATGTCTTTGGAGCTTGATCCATTCCAGAAATATGCCAAAAAATTGCGCTTCTGATGTTTCAGTTTAATGTTTTTCTAGCCACAATGCTAGCATGCTCTAGGGATGGCAATAAGTAAAATGGTCCATCGATCACTTTTCATCTGAACTATCTGAACACATTTTGGAAGGATGTAAATGAAATGCATGAAAGCGTTATCACCAACGGTAAATCCTATTGGCTTCAGTGATCTCCTGAGTTTTTATCTGCCACCATCAGCACTACAAAGTTGAGAGCGACATTCACTCAGACACCAACAACATAAAGAGGAGAACAAAATGGAGACACATGTGCATGGAAGTGGCCACTTCATCTCCAGGTTCAGAGAGTTTATTATGGGGTTTGGGTGAAATGTCTTGACTGTTGCCACTGCCATTACATAAACAATAGGCGTCAGATTTGGAAACTTAAATTACAACTATAAAAGCAAAGAGCCATATGACAAGTTAAATACATAAAGGTTTTAAAATTGTGGGATAGTTATTATAACTTCACTTCAATTAGTTAAATTATGTATGATGTTATGCAAATTATTGCTTCAAGGATTCAACAGTAAATCTCCAGTGCTCTAACTAAACTGCCAAATAAAATTCAATACACATCCCTGAACCTACCTGGTCATTTTCCTTCTTGCATTATCGACACTCCCAGCATAGCGACAAGTAAGTGTGTGTGTACTTTCCAGCCTTGATGCTTTTAAACCGCATACGCTTGATACAAGTGGCCGCAGATGTTGAGGGGAAACCACATGGACTGCGTAATGACAATGTGTGTGAATTCGATAAACCCTTTTCTCATGGGCACTAGAACCACCGTCGCGGAAAATGTGATTACATTTCTCCACAGGAAGGGCAATGTGGGACGTTGTTGCAGAGGGGAACTTGGCTTGTCATTGAGTCCCCAGTTTGTCTGTTGCCTCATAGCCAGTAACAACTTTGACACAGGTTTAATGTCCAACTAGGACTGTGGAAATATCTTTTGTGTCTGTTTTCTAGTTCTACTTTTGAAGCTGAGCGTGAGTGGTAATGATTCAATGATGCATAATGTTGATGGCACCATGTTGAACCATCATTGGTGTAAACTGACTTGTAAGTTGAAGAGAATTGAGATAAGTAGTGTAACCAACATCATTTAAAAAGGCCTGCAGCCCGAAACTGAGACTCATTTTACTGAAACAAAAATAAAATACAAAATAACTTACTCATTTTAACTAGAAGAGTTAAAAAAGTATGAAATAACTTATCTTTAAAGTAAAATATAAATAAATGGTTGGATTAATCTGGAAATCTTACCACCTAATTTGTGTTTAATCACATTTAATCACATTACCAAGTTTGACCCCAACTTCCTCCCTTAGTTCTAGAATGGATGTTTGTTGTAAGAAAACAACCTTGTTACCTTATTCCCTGCAGTAAGTAGCAGTGATTTGTCTAAAACCAATTAGCCAATTTAATCAGCCATGGAACTAAACTGTACAAAACAAACATATGAAGGCAGCAGCTAATGCTAGCTTTTATTGTACAATGCACAGCAGCATGGTTGGCAACATAATTAGCCTAAAAATAACAAATCAACAAAAAAAACGTAAACATTCACCCAAAAACGAATAGTAGGATAAGATGAAGGCTTTCCCAAGGTGTGTTTATCTGCTTAAAACCCTTTGCTGTACATTCCTAAAGGTGGAGCATTGATTTGTTGATCATTTGTGACCTTTAGTGGATAGTAATGTTGCCAACAAGGACAAACTGATTACAAATGAATAATGAGTTCCATTAATGGTGTTGTTGTGATGTTATAATGAAACAGCGTTCTCTTGGCATCTTTCAAAGTCTCAATTCCCTCATTCATTTTGTTAGCATAAATGTGCAACACGGCAGGAAATAGCTTGAGGCAATTTCTTTAAATGAAGTGATGGTGAATTAAGAAGGCTAATGAAACTATTCTCTGACTGCTCCGCCTTAAATGCTTATAATGACTTCATGAATGGGCAAATCTCAGGTCCACCCACCATCCACCCTCTCCGATAACTCCGGCTTAGCTATTTCCGGTTGGGAATGGTTTGAGTGGAGGTTCAGTCTCTTAGGTGAGCGTGAAGTGCATCCTGTGTTGGCGTTTGTAAAACTGCAAATCGACAAGCTAAGCCCAGCAAGGGACCTGCTAAAAACAGAGGCTGAGATTGTTTTCTGTTAGGGTCCCCTGGTTGATGGAGAACTGTTGATGAGCCAGATCTGCTCCAGAAATCAAAGCTCCGTTGGGGTAGCGCTTGCAAGTTTTCAACGCATCAGACTCGAAGTTCACGAGGAAAGAGTGAGCAGGAAGTCAAACAATAAATCTGATCCGTGAGAACAAGGCGTGTCATGGGTCCACTGAGAGAGGCATTGATGGAACAGTTGCGTGTGTGCCAATAAGATAGTCTGGATCAAGAAGAACTTGCGAAGGAGGGGAAATACATCAGGGAGGCAGCATGTAAACTCCTCGTAAGATGAGCACTGAGTGCAATATAAAGATGCTATCAATGGAGGAGGAAAAAAGGTGCAACCTGTAATTCCTTACCTTAACATGATTATGACTTCACAACATTCGGATACAAATACATACTCACCTTTATTTAATACTTCTAGAGATCATAGCCTTCTATTGCTTTGTGAGCAGATGGTGGCATTTTGCTTCATTTAACGTCCCCAAAATGTTTTTTTACATGCATGACCTTGTCCTTTTCATCATACATGAAGACGAGCACAAACATATTCAGCCACATGCACACCGGCACTCTTACTCCCACACATACTTGCAAAGTAAACAAACAATACAGCTTTCGGAGTGTGTGTTTATGAAGGCAAACAGCTTGTAGGGATGACTGGCCAAGGAAAAATAAGAGAAAAGAGACGAATAATGCTCAGTCCTTGCCGAGATTATAATGTCACTTGGGAGCCGTAGCCCTGCACAAACACCCCGCTGTGCTCTATTTCAATAATTTTCCATAAACCAATTCAATCTCCCCTCCCTCCTACACTGTGCTTTAAGGAGATTTTGATAGGCTTTTCTTTGAGAAGCAGATAATTCCTTATAAATCACAATGGCGCTGCCTGAATTGTAAAAGGTTTCCAAGCTTAAGGGCATGATTGGCTCACAGCAAATATAACACATACTGTATGCTTTGTTTAGAATCTGTGTGAGATGGTATCAAAATACAGAGGTTAACATGACTCTCATGTAGGCGCCTATTTTATTATTCAGTACAATATTCACAAGAGAGAAAAAATGCTTGTTATGTCATGACTTTCTCTTGGAATTTCCTACGCTTAACCTCACACTTGAATGGGACATAACCTTATTTTTAATATAGTGAAATAAGGTCGTAGAAAATGTCCTTTTAACAGTTTTCTCATTTTCTCTCTTTCTATAGGCTGCGTTACATCCTGCTCGCTGAGTGTGAATGTGTGGCCTTGAGGTATTTTCGAGGGACCGTATGGCACAATACCACACGATATAGGTAAGCTTTTTTCCCTTCACTTTTCCTGATTACTTTGAGGGCTGAAATTACCCCTGAAAAGCCCTTGACCATTCTTATCAAGCTCAGGCCTTGGCAGGATGTATTCGCTAATGCAGAAGACTTTCAACATGAGAAAAGTGACAGAAACCTCAGGGGACGGTGATAAACTTGAGCCTTTAACACCAGATTTGGTTGGTGAATTCTTCTTAGCTTCCACATTTATTTCCCGCCCAGGAGTGATACTTAGTATCAGGAAATGGAGGCATGAATTATTAGCCTTGAATAACCTATAAAACTGCCACATGAAAAGAAAAATGTCACATGACAAATGAATCAGTCAGGTACATGGCTGTATGCTTAGCTTATATCATTACCACTGTGTAGAAAACAAACAAATCAAACAAGCAAACAGCACCTCCCACTCACTATATGAGCTTGCATATTAAACTTTACAGTGTCTCTTTTTTATAAAACATTGTACTTGCATACCGCCTCCATGCTCTGAGCATAGTCTCCACCTACCTGTATCTGTAGCCTGTCTTTGTACTGGTGACAAAAGTTAATTAAACACATACATATAGTATGCGGCAATCCTTCATATTTCATTGTCATAGCGACTACACATTTACTCAGCTTTGCAATAACCATACCACCATAGTATTAGAATGTCAAATGCCGAATGCCAAAATACCGCAAGCCTGCTTCTCGCTATTCTAACCCACAAGTTGAGCAGCGGATGATCTGTTACATTGCTTGGGTCGAGGATAGAGCACAGACAGATGACAGCTCATAGGAATTTCCCGCTGTGAACTGCAATGGATATATGATAAGGTCATAGTTCAAGGTGCAATGTAATGATGGAGCAGTATGAATGAATTGTATGTGCATTCATTGCGCATTTTACAACTTAGACCTAATGATTTCAATAAGGGTTTTTCAAGTGTTCATTTAGGGGAGTTGGTTAATCTCACGTAAAAAAATGTTTGCTAATTTACAGCCTTGTTTTTCCTCATGTAAGGCAATTCGAAAAAGTATGTTTGGGCCCAATGGCATCACGTGATTAACACAGAAGTTGAAGTACCATCTTTTGGCCACTATCAAAATTAGCAGGCACTCGTCCTGAAGGCTTTGGTGGGTCAATTTACCTCATAATATACTCAACTGGATGTGAAAACAATTATTTAATATTTCTAGTGGCAACAATATTTGAAAGAGGAAAAAAATATCCTTTTGATAGCATTATTATTTACAGAAGCACCCAGTGTTTAAGGTAGTGATAGGTCAGAACATGTTGTTGAGGCTTTCTAGCCAAATTGTTTTAACTGTGTTGCTTCTCAAGGCTTCAAGAGAACTCTAAGTGGCAATTTACTGCTTGAAACGACAAGTCATTGGTACAACAACCTACATACTTCTTCCTAGTTGCTTTTCTGGTCACTGCATTGCTAACCAATGAATATTGAAGTTGTTAGAATTGTTGACATGCTATACATGTATGCAGGGATGCAGGGATGCATCCTACATATGACGTGCATTGAATGATACGCAACACTGAGCGAAGGAGATGCCGGTGCAGCAGCTTGTGAAGATGATGATGACAGTGATGATGGTTTTGACACTGTGATCACAGCAGAACACCCAGTTGTTAAACAGCCTTAAAATGAGGCTATACAGTAGCTGCCATTGATGTTGTCACTACTGTAAAGCAAGTGGCAATTCCAAGCCTCAGTGGAAGCTGTCCTAGATTCTTGATGAACACTTTTGATCACTGCAGATCAGTCTTCTAAAGGGGATTCAAAGAGTGCTTCAGGCTTTTGAGGCTTTACGCATTCCCACTCAGGGGGTTTGCGAAGGTCACACAAAGTGAAAAAACGAAGAAGGTGATATGCAGAATAATTGTGCCACGTGCTTGGATTCGGTCTTTGTAACACCTGCAGCAAAACAATGCTTAAAGTCGTGCTGCGGGGGATTTATTTTGATCCAAAGTACGTCTAGCTTAAGAGTACTTGAAGAGGGTGAAGTGATGTCTCGCTTGTGTTGGCACTCAAATAGAAATGATAGATATGGGGCAGGTTAATAAAGAACAGATAAACAGCTAAATCAATGCACAGCGTTTTACTGACCCTGAGATAAACAAGAATGCAGGCGTGGATTGGATTTGCGCTCACTGTATATGAACATAATATAAAGTGCATCAGTATACATTGAAAACCTCTCCTGCGTGATTCATAAAAGGATATGTTATAACATGGACAAGGCGCGTCACATATCTCCATTAAGGTATCATTTTAAAGGCAGAACGAGAAGGTGAGAATATGTAAAACACAGTTAAAAAGAGTTACATTTTTAAACCGCAATGAGTGAAAGCTTGAGTCATTTCTGACCTACAGTACAAGAGTCGACAAGCTGAGGCTTTATAAAGAAGTTGCTTTCCTCTGAGGAATGTCTTGGGAAATACATCATGCATTGTTTCAATTAGTTCCCCCCTTCATCCCAGGAGTCTGCAAGTCTGATATCTTAATGAAAACACTCTGCAAACACACTGTAGATGTTAACTTTCAAATTACTGGGCATGCTAAGTGTGACAGGTCCATGTGTTTTAGTCCGATAACATCTACAGTAGTTCAGCTTCTATATTGCATTTTTTTCTAGGTATTAAGTAACACTGCAGAAATTCTAAGTAAGAATACTGTGCTAAAAGCTATGCTGCCCCTAAGTTGCCAAAGAATCAATGAATGTAAGTTTAAGAAACAGTACACTATTTTGGAAAACATGCTTTTTCACTTTCTAAAGGCAAGAAAAAAGGGCCTCAGGTCTATGTGTTAAAGGGTAGCTTCGGTATTTTTTGCCCTCGGTCCTATTTTTCAAGTTTCTGTGTTGAGGAGACTAAGACATTTTGGAAATAGGTCAAAGGTTAACAAGAAGTTTTGTGTCATAAAAATGGTGGTGAAAACTGTTGTTCGAGTAACTAATGGAAGTTACAATCCTTTAAAGTCACATATTCTAAGACGGTGAATTATGCTTTTTAAATGTAGTCTCGCAGTTACGGTAAAATATGTTTTTACTCCAAAAAAAAGACATCACAGTATGCATTTTTCAGTGGACTTATTTAGGGAAATCATATTATGAATGGCATTGCTAGAAAGAACCACCAGACATAAAGAGTAGAGAGTTTTAACAAAGCTTCTCCGACACACTCAGTATGAACCCAACTTCAGCTGCTTCACAGGATGAGGAAGGCAGGTGTGATGAAGGGGAGGAAGGGCTGGTGGTGGAGGCTGATCAGGAAAGGGTGTAGGGAAATCTAATTTATTTTTCATACGCTGCTGAGATGGAAAGTCATATATCATGCCATGCAGCAATTTTGTGCCAGTCCCAGGCACACAAAAGATGAAAGAATAGTGATCAAAGATACAGAGAGAGAAGTCAGCTACTGGAGTTGCTATGAGATCCACTACCACTGAGAACAATATAAACTGTGTTGAAATAGTCATTCAGACTCCTGTCACTGTTGGTTTTTAGTGTCGGACAACTCACTTCAAACAGCTAATGCAGTAGGGAACAGGAGGGAACTTTTTTTTTTTCGGTCGAGTATACAGACTTGGAAGTAATGTAAAAGAAAACATATTTGGGATTGAATATGGTTAGCTTTTAAAGCCCTGGGCTGACTCCTTATCTTAACAATGAAACAACATGTTCTACACTTAGTAAATGAAACAAGACATAGAACAATTATTATCATATGAACAAATTGCATATAATATAACTATCAATCTTTCCTTAAAGAAGATCAACGGTCTATTGCTAAAAAAGTACAAAATCTCCCTGCAACAACAAGAAGCACATGGCCAATTATAAGCCAGGATGAACTTCCCAATATAAACTATTCTGAAATTATTGTAAAAGCTTACTCTGTCTCTCATTTTGCAGGATAATAAGCCATGTGCTTCTGTTTGTAGCATAGAGAATGTGTATTTTCAGAATATTAGACTGTTGGATCCATTTCCAATGGGGCAATGTTCAGACTTGAGGGCATATTATCAAATCGCGCAATGTTCAGAATATTGTGGCCGACCTACATTTGTGGGTGGGCATTTGATTTCTGAATTTGGACCGAAGGTAAAAGTACCGGGTGGCGCAGGGCTCATCAGTTTATTGATCTTGCTTATCAATAGGTAAAATACTTATATTCGGAATTTGGAAATTCACTGATCTTAAAAAAACACAATCATCCCATCAGGGCTAAGAAATGAAACCACTATCATCTCGGGCAGCGCCAACGTGGTGACCCAGTTTCGGCACAGCAGAGGCATATAGTAATAATAACATAAACATTCAGGCTACCCGGACTTCTGTAGAAATGTCTTGGGGGATTCAACCCTGGGAATTTATATGATAAACAAGCTCTATTTTAAAGCTTTTATGGTTACCCTGGCCACTGATTTCCCTGCAAAGAACATGTCTCAGTCATTGGTATATGCACATGTATTACCGCAAACCTGCATGTTTATTTTGAAGATCAGATATGGATTGTGATGTCAAAATATTTACGCTTTTCCCTATCTCATCCTCTGTGTTGCTCAGGGCTGACCACCAGACTCACACAGACAGAGTTAGTTCAGGGATCTATGCTTATTCTGAAAGGCTGTTATGTTACGACTATATAACATTCACACATTTTGTTTCTTTTCTGTAAACTGGCTTACAATTGAAAAAACACCGGGGGAGATCTCCATGGTAACTTATGCTGAACATCTAGCCCTCTCCAGGAGATAAGAGATCACCTCCAGAAAGCACTGCCTGCTGACCAATCAGAGCTCTGTGCATAGAGTTGAAAGCAATAGAGTCATATTCCAGGCTGAAGGGAAATACAGTTTAAACTGACGAATGCAGGAAAGAGGGCTGGCAATGAATCGCCGATTGTGTGAACATGGTTATTGATAAAATATCACTGCCCATCTCTCACATTTGCGGAAAGCAAGCTTACTTAAATAACTGCCACA